ACACTGTGTTCCAAAACTACGAGGGCACGTCCGCGTTCTGTCAGAGGAGCGCTTTCCAGCCCCAAGTTCAGTCTGACCCCTGACTATGACGACCACCGCGGGGAGCGCCGGGACGAACGGGCGCCGTCCTCCGATGTGCTGTCCTCCGCGCCGGAACCGGGTGCGGGGCGGTGGCGCCCGGGGGCGCTCCACGGCGGCCTGCCCGGAGCGAGGGACGTCTCGGCGAAGGGACGGCGCTCCCTGACCGGCACGCGGCGGTGGGCCCTGCGTCAGAAAGCGCCACGCCGGGGCGTGGGAGCAGGCCGTGCGCGCTGCGTGGGTTCTGCCGCCGGACAAGTGAAACCGCAGCCTCTCCAGGCAGAGGACACACGGCCCCCCTTGTCCCGGGCAGCGGTCGCAACCTTAACACAAGCGGCCACGGTATTGCGGAGCCCCGGCAGGGTGCGAGCACCCGCGTCCGGGCTCACAGGTCGGGGGGGGGGGTTCCAGGACGGGTGGCCTCGGGGCGCACAGGGCTCCGCACCCGCTTCCCTCCGGGTCCTCACCCGCGGGCGGTTCCGATAAACGTTGGCGGGGGGGGGGGCTGGTCTGAGACATTCTCCCAGGCTGCCGGAGGTGGCAGCGTGGTTAGTCGCACTGTCAGGTATGACGGCTCTGCATCACGGGCTCCCGGCAGATAAAACTCCCGCTCCGTGCCCGAGCCGCGTGCGGCACTGAGGTTGGAGAACCTGGACACCATCTCCTGCGGAACTCAGAGAAGAAGACGCCATGAACACACGTCACGGAACACCACGTTTGAAAGCCATTCCTGTGTCCGTTAGGCTTAGAAATCACGCATCGGGAAACGGGGTCCACGAAAGGAGGGTTTCGAAGGACGTTGGCTGGGAACCGGCCTCGAGACAGGCGGGAGCAACGTGGGCACTCCACCCGGGCCCTGGGCAACAGGCCCAAGGCCGCGGCTTTGTCGGCCACTTAAAACCTCAGTGCGGAGTAAGTTGTTAGTCGCCTCGACACAGGATCTCAAACGTGTGAGTTAAAATACAGACTTTATCCAATAAATAGATTGCGCATTGAATTAGATTCTACGGTAGAGTTTGTTTGGTTTAGTTCGGATAGCAGACACATGTGCAGGCGTATCCCTTTCTCTCCCGTGCAGAAAAGCGGAGGAAACTCGGATGTTCGTGTCTGGAGTTGTGGGACTCCCACAGCTGCAGAAAGCAGTGTTTTAAATCTCTCAGGAGCCTTGGGGAAACAAATGGCGGGTCTCCGTCCTGCCGGGAGGCGGGGGGTGCGGGCGAGCAGGGCAGGGAAACGCCTCGGAAAAGAAGTGACTCGTTCGTGCGTCTTCACGGGCCGACTCCCCAGGCCTCGCGCGGCGCGGCAGTCAGCGGCCGTGGGTGCGATGACCGGCGCACTGCGTGTTAGCATGTTCTCGCCGACCGCCACCGAACAGAACAGACGGACACGCGTCCCCTCGGAACTTCGCAGGTCTCTGGTGGCCGGGGGCCGCAGACGCCGACGCCTGGTCACCGTGCTCGCCGCCGCCTCCGTTGACGGCAGCCTGGCAGAGGCGGTGGCTTCCTGCTCCACCGAGGCATCAGGTGGGGCCGGCCTTGCCTCTCAGGACGGCCGCTGCGCTCTGCTTCTAATGTTTTAATGACTTAGGGAAGCAAAGCAGAACTGTTAGATCTTAAGACGACTGAGCACCACCAACCACCATTCCTAAAACTCCTCCAGACCTGACACAACTTGGGGTGTGTTTTTATAGTTTCCTCCCTCCCTCCCTCCCCCTCCCTCCCTCCCCCCTCCCTCCCTCCCTCCCCCTCCCTCCCTACACACCTATGTTACACTTTTGCATCCTATTTTACAAGCGAATTTTTACTTTCTAACTGGTCTTGTCTCAGCCAGTCACACGGACCCATGCCTCGGTTTTTATTTTAATTCGAATTTTATATAATTCGTCTGACACATGTATTGGCGTGGTGTTCCGTTGTCGCGGTCTCCACCGAAGGGCGTTTCTGCTGTTTCCGACTTTTCTTCGGCGCACAGGCGGTGCTGCAGTGAACACTGTGAAACCTGAATGTCCCCGTCGGGGAGGGGACTTTGAGTCACGACACCACCTGGTCATGTGACCTGTGCACTGTGGGTGTGCGCACGGGAGTGGCCGCCAAGTCCCCCCCCCCCCCACGGCGTGCAACGCAGCTGCCTGCAAACCGCCTGCGACTGCCTGGCGAAGACGCACGTGCTGTCTTCCATTCACAGCTGCTGACTGCGTCCCAGCTGGACACTGCCCAGCGTATCTATTGACCACTTGTGTTTGCTTTATCAGTAATGGTTCGTGTTCTTTAAAAAAATTTGAGCGTTGTTCAAGAACACTTGTCTCCATCCCCCCCCACCCCCGCCACTGCCCCCACCCCGGCCGTCCCCCCCACATCCCACCCTCGATCCGCCCCCCTTGGTTTCATCCGTGTGTCCTTCGTGCATGTTCCCGAGAACCTTCCCCCTCCCCCCCACTGCCCCCTCCCCCCCCATATTCTTTATTTTCCAGTGAGTCATTTGTTCCTTTCCTCGTAATGTGCAGGAGTTTTAAAATATTCCGGACAGGAATATTACAACACGTGTTCTCAGTCCTGCTTCTTGGCCATTTTTTTCTTTGCTCGTTTGATTTTCCAGCCAGCTGCTACTCGTGAGGCTCTAGGTGTGCGGACAGTCTGGGCGGGGAGGACCGAGAGCTCTCACGGGCCCTCGCCCCGCAGGGCCTCTCGCCTCATCTCAGCCTTTGGGGCGTCTTCTGTGCCCGGGAGGCTCTGACTCAGACGTAGCCTGATTCATAAACCGCTGGTAACTGTTGCCTGTCTGTTTGTCTAACTTAGGGAAGGCTTCCCGATCCAAGCCGGTTAATCTCCGGTCTCATGTTTTCTTTCGGTGTCTTACTGGTCATCTTACGTTTGCTTTCTGGGTTCCAATCTAAATGCCACTTCCCAGTCTCCGTGCGGCCCCCGCCTCTGTCCCCTCCCTGCGTCCCCACCCACCTCGCCCGCCCCCCAGCCTCCCCTCAGCCGGTCCCTTCCCTCTGGCCTTCCTCCGTCTTTCCAGTTACGTTCCTTCCTCGGATGCCTTTGGGCTGTGCCTGAAACGTCTGAGGCGGCATTGTGTATGTTCCAGGGTCTCACCCCTCCGAATACTCCCTGCACACAGAACCCGTAAGTCTCGATGTCCCCACGGCCTCGCTCAATGCTCAGAGAACAGATCTGCTGCCAGCATTCACAGAGAGCAAGCACGAGCGGTGTGTGTTGAGGCTGGGCAACCGGATGCTCCTCTGGGACGCCCAGGCGTTACTTTCCAATACTCGCCCTGTGTCAGAGGAGGGGCACTGGCCCGCGGGGTCCCTCAGTGGTTGCTAAGGACTGTAGGTTCTTCTCAGTTTGAAGAAGCCGTTCTCAACAACAAATATTATCTGAAAACTGGATGATCTCACAGAGCAGTGACTCGACTCTCTCCTGACGTGTTCCAGCAGAAGTGACACGTGGACATTCCTGCCGTAGCCTTTCCCGTGCACGGCTGGGTAAGTGAGCCCATGGGCAGCCCGTGTACGTGTGCGTGTGCGTGTGTGTGTGTGTGTGTGCATGTGTGTGTGCGTGTGTGTATCCTCAGTGGTTTCATGTCAGTGTCTGACCGTTGATGGTGACCGCCCTCCCCACTCCGCCGATCTGCAGGGACCATCCCATTTGACCTTCAACGTGAAGTTGCTTTTTTAGTTGTAAAAAGTTCTCGGGATAGATGTTACTTTTACCACCGAGATGAATGGTTTTATTTTCATTTTTTGGAAAACTTTATAGAGGTGAAATCACCTCTCAGAGAATTCAATATTAAATCTATCCCAAAGCCCAAACTTTATCTACAAAACCAATAAATACACATCCTGTGCAAAGAAATATACACACGTTTAAAGCCTTATATGTTTTTAGTACGTTGATTTATTTTATAGTAATTTCCCCACATTTTCCTATATAAATATCCACCACAGCCACTCTAAGGTAAATATTACTTAAAGTGTTAAAAACAGAAGAAACAAATCCAAGTCTGCAGGGTTCACAGTCCGCCTCCTCCGTACCTCTAACTGAAAACACAGCCTCGGTGGCAGGGAGCTGGTGCTGGGGCCGAGGAACACATACGGGCCGGAGTGACGGCGCGACCGCAGGGAACGTGACATAAAACACAGTGACAGTTGCCGTTTCCCCTAGAAATCACTTTGCTGACGAGGAACCAGAGTCTCTTCCAGGACCGGAAGGCACTACCTCAGCAGGGCCGGATCCGAGCAGAATCCCAATTAGATGGTCACTCACCAGGAGGCGTCTCCGTGGGCGTGTTGTCACTTTCGACAGACGCCCTGTGTCCTTCTGCTCCTTGCCAGGCTCCGTCCGGGGCACTGAGGACGCAGCCGGGGCCCACCCGGCGCACCTCACGCTCCTGGGGAAGAGGCCCACCAGGGCCGCCCGGTGCCCCGCGCCCCCCGCACCCCATGCGCGTCCCAGCCAGCCGGTCCCGGGGGGGATGGAAAGGCTGTCGGTTCAGCAGGTTCAAGGCGATGCGATCTCTCTGCTTGTTAGAAACATGCCTGCCCAGCAGCTGACAGACTTGACAGAAGGCAAATCGATCAGGGGAAATGTGCTGGGATCAAGCCACGGGGGACCCGCGGAGTCCTTCGTGTGCCCAGCCCCTGCAGCCCCAGGAACAACGACGCCGCCTCCGGCGTCTGCCTTGACCGCACAGGACGTCGGCGGCAGAGCGCAGGGAAACAGCCAGCGGTGCCCAGGCGGTGAGCCAGGCCCCGGGGCCGTGCAGGCTGTCGTCTGGAGACGCCTCGGGCGGGGCGCAGGGCGGTGATTCAGCGGAGTGTTACAGCGGCGCCTGCCACCCGCGGGAGGGTCTGCTCCGTCGGACAGCGGCCAGCCACCGGCCACCGGCCACCGGCCACCAGAGACGCCGCTCGCCGCCGATCAGTAGCAGCCAGGGCGCAGGTACCTCAGGGGAGGGAAGGAGTTGGGCACGGAGCTCAGGCAGCCGCCGAGGCTGCTGGGCAGGTAGCGCGGCGACGTGCAGCTCAGGGGCCGGTGTCTCACCCAGTAGTTTGGGGACTGGCAGCCGCTGGCCGCACAGTAGGACGGCGAGAAGCCGCCAGGAGTGAAGCCCCAAGTTTGGTAGCCCCTGCACCCCAGGCTGCTGGGTCTGCAGTGGGGCAGCGGCCGGGAACTCCTGGGCGCGGTGCTGCGTCGCCCGAGGCCCTGGGGGCCGTCGGTGAGGGTCCGGCGCGCCGTGGGGGCGCGGGGAATCGGTGCGCCGACCCGGGTCGTGCGCCCCACAGCGGTCTGAGCCCGTGGGCCGTGGCGGGGCCCCCCGCTGGCTGCGCCGCATGCACCTCGCGTTGTCCCCACCGCTGCTGCAGGGTCGCAGGGCTCACGGCAGCTCCACGGGGCTCCCCCCGCGGTGCAGGTCCCCGGCCGGCAGCTGGGCGCCCTGTCGCCCTCGGGGTCCGGGCGGTACTCCAGGAGCCAGAGGTTCCCTTGGCAGCTGCTGGGCAAGCAGAGCCCAGAGGTGGGGCTCCCACCCCGGGGGCAAAAGGCGACAGGAGTCACCACCGGGAGGCAGCAGCCCCCGGAGGGGCCCAGCAGGCACATGGGGCCGGCGTGTGTCAGCGCAGCGGGACGGTGTGGTGCGCCGGCCCAGGGCTCCTTATATCTCCCCGGGACCACGGGCGGCACGCGGCATCCCCTCGTGGAGGTGGTGTTTAGCCACCGCCGCCGATGCCTTCACACCCACGCAAAAATGCATTTACTTTGGTTCTGCCAAGTAGCAATCATCGCCCCGTTGGCCCTCGGCCACGACGCACCACCACGGGCCGTGCCGTCGGTGGGTCGGGGTTTTAATGTGACCAGGCCGCCTGCCACCTGCCAATCAGCGGTTACGAGAGTCGGTGCCTCTGTGGGCTCCGGCAGCGTGGTGATTAAAAGGTTAACGAGGAGTCCCCGGAACAAGGAGCCGGCTCCTGACCGCGGCCAGCCCCCAGAGGCCTCGGTCCTGTGTGCTGACCAGGCCAGGGCACGGGCCGTCCCAGCGCTGCTGCTCCGCGAGAGGGGGAGACGTGAGACCTTCACGAGAAAGAACTGCTTCCCCCAAAACGTGCCGTGCTGGGCCGTGTGCCGGCCACGGCCCGGTGGCCGGTTCTGGTCCGCCGTGGCTGGAGCATTCCACCGGCGGCCCCACCGCGACCGAGGGACCTGCCCGGGGCTGACAGGGAGCTCGTCCTCAGGGGCTAGTGGTTGCCGAGCAACCCGTCTCCTAGGAGGTGGTTTCCCCGAAGAGTCTGTGCAGTCGGGGCCTCCGAAAGGCTGGCTTCCTGGGGCTGCGCCCCCCGGGGGAGGACGGTTGGCCCTCCCTGCCGTCAACCCCCCACGCCACCGGCCCGTGACGTGCCCCCCCCCTTTCTCCCCAAACAGAGCTTTTCTGTCCTCGCTTCCCCTCTTTCCTGCACGCACACTGGACTTTGTTCCCGTGTCGGAGAGTGCGGCTGGTTTTGGTCGGCGCCCACCCGAGGGAGCGCCCACCGTGTTTAAAATGTCGTCTGCAGAGCCTGCGGGGCCCGTGCACAGCAAATAGCGCTTTTCACTGCTGCTGGCAGAGGTGAAGGACACTTCTGAGATCTTCACTTAAACTAAGGACTGACGTTTTCTTCCTGAAAACAGAGACGGCAACTCACACGTGCAGCCTCCACTGCACCGGAACAGCCATGCGTGTGTGGGCGGCGGCGGCGGCGAGTTCGGACCGGGGGAAGGCGGGCTGTGGGGACGGTTTGCAAAGACGTGGTCCTCGGAGAAGACAGGAGCTCTCCTCCCCGGTCTCCGCTTCGCAGCCGAGCTCCGCAGAGGCACACCGCCCGCTCCTGGGGAGGTCCTCCAGCCCTCTCTTGTCACGCCGAGGCTCCCGGCTGCCCCCCCGGCACTCACTCGGCGAGGCGACACCCCCCTGGAGGGAGCAGCTCCGCATCGAGCGCAGTCGGTTGTCTGGGGAAGCGTCTCTCGGGAGGAGAGGTCAGGCCCCGGGAACCATGTGTTCATCCTGCTGTTGGACCGTGGAGCATCCTGGGATTCGGGGCCGGAATGTTCAGCCCGGAGGCGGGCAGCACAGAACACGAGATACGGAAGGAAGGCGGCTCCGGCCGACTTTGCACCGAGTCACTCTGTGGGCCTCCGTGACGCGCAGGAGCCCAGAGGCCCACGGGTCCTTATTCCGGCCTCTCTCCGTTACCCCAGGTGTGGGCCCCCTGCAGCGGGCAGAGTGCGGGGGAAGCACGGGTGAGCTGGTCCCTGTGAGGCCCACCCGCTCCCCTCCTGACTCAGCGTTACACGCAGAGCGTCTGAAGTCAGTGCCGTCCACAGCAGCGCAAGTGCACCACAATACACAGCGCGGAACATCGCGCCGTGCAGCGAGACTCCCGGCAGGAGACTCTGGGGCCCGCCACGTTCACCCCGGGACAGCGACGCCCCAGACGGTGGAGCACGAGTCCGCAGAGGGGAGGTAGCTCCGCTCCTCTCGCTTGCCTTTTGAAAAAAATTTGTTTTTTTAATTTATTCGGGTGACGATGGTTGGTAAGATTCCCTAGGTGTCACGTGTACGTTTGTATGAAACAGGATCTGTGTGTTGCACTGTGTGTTTACCCCTCAAAGTCAGATCGCCTTCTGCCAGCACGGGTTTGACCCCCGACCCTCCACGACGCCCCGCCCCCTCCCTCTGGTGACGCCCACGCTGCTGTCCTGTCCACGAGGTTTTGCTTGTTTGTCTGGTTTGCGCATCGGCTGCTTTCGGTTTTGTATCCCACGTGGGAGGGAGCCCAAAGGATGCTGGGAAAGTCGGAGAGCCGTGCGCAGGACGGAAACTGGACCGCGACCTGTGGGCATTCACGGAAATGAGAGCGGCCCAGGTCAACAACCCAAACGTAAGGCCTGAGATGATGCCTCGGGTAGACGGGGGTGCAGGCACCACACCTGTGGGCCTCGGCCTCTCCTCGCTCTGGCGTGACCGTCCTGCCCACTCGCCACGCTCCGGCCACCGGCACGGCCCGCGCACCCACACTCCTCGGTGGATGACACCCGTCCAGGGGCGTCCGCTGCCCTGGTCTCCGCCTGGGCAGCAGCCCGAGCAGACGGTGTCGGCACCAGAGCAGAACCAAGTTCGCAGCAGTGGCAGGTGGTGGCAGGGAGCGAGGACCGATGTCATTCGGGTAGCGCTGTGCTCCTCAGGCGCTGGAGAAGCAGACGCCTTGTCTGTTTGCACCGCATCGCTGAAAGAACGCTGCCTCCTGTTAACCCCCTTGTTCGTCACATTGTCTGCATGCAGAAGACGGAACAGAACCCCCGACCCCGACACCTACTTCCTGATCCCCAGCACGTGACCTTGGTGGCAGCAGGGACTTGGCAGATGTGACTTAGTCAAGGGCCTCGCGATGGGTGAGCTGGGCGGCCTGTGCAGTCACAGGAGTCCTGCATCGAAGGGGGGTTTAACTCGCAGGAAGTAAGTCCAGCCCTCAGGCAGTCTCGAGAAATGCCTGCTGAGGAATAAGAAACAAACTCTCTTTATCGAACGAGGGAGCTGAGCCTTCACGGCTCACGGAAGGGGAGTTACCCAACTTCGCCCAGTGTTTTCCAAAGCTGCTTCACCTCCTGGCAAACGTGTTCCGGGTGTCGTGTTCGAACGTGTCTTTCCCATGAACAGCAGGGGCCTGGACGGCTCCGACCGGCTTCGCTGAGGTCCCCAGCCAGGGAGACTCCGTGTCACCAGGGTGTCTTTTATTGACACAAAACGCCAGGAGCTCCCACTCGCAGACAGCTGGGTGCCCGCGGCAGGAAGGCCGTGCGGACGCCGGCCTGGGTGACCTCCGGCGTATTTCCCCACAGACGCGCAGAGTGTGGGTGACTTGTTCCGTTGTCACAGTTTCCCACGAGTGTCTTCCCACACACACGTGGTTTTACACAACTCATATTTTTTCTGACTATTTAATTAAGAAAGACAGCCTAATTTATGACCGAGCTCTCTTCCAAAGCTTTACTTGCCTGTCGATTTCTGAAGCCCGGAAGCACTTGCACGTGGAAAGAAGATGGAAACTCCTGGACCGCGCCGCCCACAACAGCGAAGACACGTGCTGGCCCGGCGGTGTTGTGGGGCTCTGCGACCCGGCCTGGGCCCCAGCTGGGCATGAACGGACTTCCATGAGTTCCGTGAGGAGCTTCCTCCAGGGAGAGGACTCACGTCTCGTGCGTCCAGAGACCCGCCTTCGGTGGCACGTGCCGCGGTGGGACGATGGGCCGAGGTCCTGCGCGGAACGGTGTTATCGCCCGTGGTCAGCACCGAGGTCACCGGGCCGGAGAGGCCGCGAGTGTGGCCGTCACGGCCGGAGCTCGGGAGTCTGGCCCATCCAGTCACAATGCCCTCGCCCTCACCGACAGCTTTGCCGAGTCTCACTTCCCTCCTGCGCAAACGGGCACGTTAAATGCCACCTTACTAGTGTCTCTCAGGATATGATTTAGAAATGGACAAGGGGGGACCCATGAAAACCGGAATTATCTTCCCCAGGACAGGCCCCTTGTAGTACAGGCTTCCCCTGCTAGGTGGTTGTGCTAGGAACCCATCTGTAGGAGTGCGCCAGCTGGTGTTGTGGTGAGAGGCTGCATTCGGCTTCAGTGAATTTTTTTGAAGACTCAGCATGTTTGTCCACTTTGTGACGGTGAATTGCAAGCACACCCCCCCCCCGCACACCACACTGAGTGTTCAGCAGTGTTTGACCAAAAATGGCACAACCCCTATGTCTTACCCTTCCTATTCACCCCGTCTCAACCTGCACGATTTTTTTTGTTTCCCCGGGTGAAAAAGTCCTCAAAGGGAAGGGGCGGAAGAGGTGAAACCAAAACCAGCAGAAGCATGGAGAGGCATCGGCATCATCGAGTTCAAACTGTTCTGAGCCATGGGAAAAACGTGTCTGTCGATAGGTGGGTTGTGCCACGTGGAGAGCACGTGGAAGGTGGCGGAAGCTTAAACACGTGAGAATAAGTTCACAGTCATTTAGAAAAGAGTTCTGGTGTTTGGGGTCCCCCCTCGCGCATGAGAGGCCCTGACCGGGGCCCATGCCACACAGCCCGAAGCGGAGGATTCGAGGTCGCCGTGCCGGAGAGATGGCCAAGGTGGGTTTGTGTGGACCGTGGGTTTAGGGCGGCCAGTGAGGAAGGCCAGCACCCCGGGGAGGGGCAGCCCTTCGGCCGAGGGCAGGCTCAGAGCCGGACCTCCCTGCGGAAGCTCTTAGCCCCTCCCCCGCTTGTTCGGGTGGACTCAGAAATTAGAGGGGTCTCCTCCGCTGGCCCTGAGCCCACGCCCCCGCCCCTGGATGTGCATCTGAAAGTCAGGTTCGCCCGGAACCCCTGACGCGCCCATAGCACCGTGAACACGTCTTTCGGATGGACTAAGAGTGGAACGAGTCAGGATGTGAGTGTCAGCGCACAGTGAGGCCGGTGGGGGCTACCGACACACCCCACCCTCCTCATGTTGCTGTTAGGGATTTATTTTTAAAGACGAGCCGAACAGCCACTTAATGTGGAAAGTGGGGACACGGGCAGCATGCCTCTGCTCCTTC